TTCAAATAAATGATTGTAACTCTGAACATGTGTGTTCCTGTAGAAAAGGAAAACTAGACAGTGCAAGCCACAGCTATGGCAACCTTACTGGTTACTATGTGGGTAGTCCAGCAGATGAGTCATAGTGAGGAAGGGGTGATTGAGAACAGCAGAGGGAACAGTCCTGTTCTCAGCATCAATCAGCAGCATGCTCTTCAGCAGAGACACAAACTCCCTCCTGTCCACCTTCTCTGCCTGCATGTCACTGTTGTCGGGACTCAGCACCAAGTTCACCTGTCGGATGGAAGCACAGAGGGAGAACACGCTGCATGTGAGAACCACGCAGGAGCACTTGAACCGATGAGCTGATAATTTTCAACACAAGGTTTCGATGTTTCTCACTGACATCTGATCAGGACGTTCATTTTTATTTGTTGTTTGAATGTGAGTTTTCAAAATGGCACTAATATCCGTGGCACTGAAAACGAAGAGCACCGTGGTTGTACTCACATGTGCTATGTCATCCAGACAGCTGAAGATGTACTTCCTGGCCTCTTTGGATTTCAGTCCGGTCTCTTTCTCATGCTGTTCTGTCGTCTGAAAGAAGAACAGAGGTATTTAGTCAAATAATTTCTAATATATTGGTGGTAGGTGGAGATTTAAATGATGAGGAAGTCCGAGCAAACTCTGCGTGTCTATGTTTATATTGAATACTGGGCTCACATTCATTTATTATTCATTTGGAATGAGCTTGGCAGATGGTCTAAACACAGTTTCACACTCCCCTGAGGTTTCTCCAGGGTGTGCAGGCTTTGTGCTGCTTTGCGAAGCTCATGCAGCTGTTTCCCATCGGAAATGTTCTGCTACTCTTGTGCTTTCGTCTGACTGCATTAATACCAGGCAATAAATAAATTGTGTGCTATTTTTGTGTGGTTGGCAGCACGATGTGTGCATGTTTTTACATATATAATAGCGTTTGTGTATTTGTGCGATTGTGTGCATGTACTTTGAGTCTCCAGGAGGCGTAGGGAGAGTCCGACTCTTTGGAGAAGAAACGAGACGTCTTGGTCCCCTTGTTGAGCAGCTGCTCGGCAGGCAGGCCCTGAGTCTGAGAGATGTACCGGATCTGCAAACAGGAAACAGAGGGGAAGAGGTGGAGGAAGGGAGAGATGGGGAAGGAGGAAATGTAGAAGAAAATAATTAACAAATTCAGTTATTATGGGAAGAAATTAAAGAGGAATGAGGAGATGGAGGGAGAAGAGGAGAGAGGTGGCTGAAAACAAGACCATTGACTCGGGTGTAATTCAATTAATTTTACCCAATTACTGAATCTACAGCCTGTAGTTCAGCTGACGCAGTCCAGCCATGTGCATTATTAAGCTTTACATCAACAGCTTGTTAGTGTCAAGGTACATTTAATGGTTGAGAGAGAGAGAGAGAGAGAGAGAGAGAGAGAGAGAGAGGAGTTTTTAAAGCTGATCAGTGTCTTCAGGTTTCAGCCAGTTTAGACCACAAGGGTGTTAAAGAATATAAAGCTGCTTTCACTGAATGTTTTTCTGTTGTTGTGAACCAGACAATCTCCCGCTGCCTAGTTCATATGCGAAAGACAAATGCCCTGATGCAATTGTGAGGATCTCTGAAAACAGCTCAAATGAAAGAAAAGTCATCACAGCCAGATATTACGCTGATTGTCTGATAATTAAAAGCATGGTGGTTTCCTGGTCACCCAATCTTGGATTAAATTACACCAGGTTAACATATGTTATACTTATGTTAATCAGTGAGACCTGGATTTTGTCCAACAGCTCTAAGTTGTCTGTCATCTAATACAACACGCTTAACTTTAACCTTTACTGCTCTGCCAAACTGACATAGTTGGAGCCCTCCACAGGCTCGAGGCATCTGCAGCGAAGAAGCCAAACACGAGAGTGACAGAGCGGGGGAACAGAGGTCAGCGACATTAATCTGCAAATCTTGACATGATTTATGAACTAGAGACCATCATGGGATGAGATCACACCAGCAGCCAAGGCTCTTAACCATTTTGACGTGATTACTCACTAGTCATTACTTAATTGTTACACCAATATTCATTAATCATGGGTTGAACTCATCCTTCTTCAAATCTGTCTTCATAAATCTTTTTCATAGCAGCAATTTGACAAGAAACTGTAGGTACACACGATATCACTATTATGAAGACTCAATTTAAATACAACAGAACCGCCATCAATGTGATTAGTGACACTGGTGTTTGCCTTGAGTCTACCTAGTGCTGCCATCACAAAAGACAAAATCTGTGCACAGATAAAATACACAAACGCCTGGTTCAGTATGAAAATCAGCTCAGTCGTAGTTCCTGTTAAGGTAAATGTCAACAGGATCACATTTTGCGATCGGAGACAGAAAAGGTGAAGGCAATACCAGCAACACTGTCACAGCTGGTTATAGATTCCGGTGTGTTGCTGAGGAAAATGTCCTCACTGTGACCCAGCATTTAAGAGTAAATGTGTGCTTGACCTGGACGAGTATCCTCAGAGTCTTGTGTCTTAGATTTATCGAGGGGGCTGATGGAAATGTCTCGACCCGTAATTTAAATCTCATGAGTACAGCAGCTGCATCACACAAGTGCATACACAAAAAAAAAACTCTCAATGTTCACATGCACAGGTTGAACCAAAAAATACATTAAAACTAAAACATTTCAAAAGTGCATACGTTTTTTTTTTCATTTCAAGGTTGATGGACCATCAGACAGTTTGACTTGCAAGTTCTAAAACCACTAAAACATCTATCCTCTTTTAAAGTGAGCCATCTGTAAAACTTTTCCAGATTTGTGCGTGATTTTCCAGAAATTCCCTCGATGCTCTGCTCTGTCCCATCTTGATAACGACTCTCAGAATAATACTCCGGAAACTCTGTGATCAATGAAATACCACTGTTGTAGGTTTTTACAGCATGTATACTGTGCACGTGCACGAATACAGCCCAGAACAAACACATTGACAGGCCAGAACCTGCTGATGGTGCACTGAAAGCTCACCAGTGTGTGTATGTGTGTGTCTGTGTGTGTGTGTGTGTGTGCACATGTCTACCATCAGGCTTATGTTTATAAATACATTTTGCTGTGTAGAGTGGAACTGCAGTGAGCCTTGGCACGGCACTGCATGCTTTTGGGGGATCAATGTGCACGCGGGAGTGTGCGAGTGTGTGTGTCCATTGATTCAACAGAGCTGTCACTGCTCAGCAAGGCTTCTATCCGTCACGATCTCTGAGCGATGATTGTTGAAACTGCTTGCTGCTGCTGGACGCACAAGTGACAAGTTGCCAAAAAAAAACCTTCCAAAAACAAAAGCAAGCAGAGGCTTTAAACAAGGCTTCACCAAACAGGTTTAATCTAGAATGGCACTCAGAGCGCCCACCTCTGCCAAGGTCTGAAAGTTCCCTTAAATTCAATCAAGAGGCACCAAAATGCACAAAAACATAGATATCAGTAATCACACAGATAAACAAAAAAAGGACAGGGGCGAAAACAACAACCCCTTTGGTTGAGGTAGAGATGTGAACGTACAGGAATGTCTGGTAGTGGCGTGTATTTTGGGAGCTCAAACATTAAAATTGGCCAAATAAATGTCAAAACCCATTTAAGGTCAAATATGGATGTATATGTTTTTTATAGGTCCAAATATCTGAACTCATAAATTAAAAACATGATGATTCCTCATTTGAATAATCCCGGACTGGTGTGTGAATGTGTTGTGGGCCTTTTCTCATGCTCCCTCTCCCTCGCCGGGGGACTCCAGCGAGAGTCCCAGTTGTGTAGTTCAACCCACACAACCCTGTGGGAAGATAATCACACATTGCCAAGAACAATTTCCTGATTCACTCTGCCCAGATTAATATTAGGTGGATTTCATGCTGGATTTGTTGACCTCAGTCAAACAGCAACACAAGATCAGGGGAGCAGCAACAAATAAAGGCTGAACTATAAAGTATTATTGTACAAAGTTTTGGACACTCAGCACAGACCTTCCTGGATCTCAAAAACCAGGAATATTCATTTGATTGATGTTTGTTGTGCATCGTAATTGAATTTAAGGGACTGTTGGACCTTTGCAGGGCTATGTGCTCTCCGAGTGCCATTCTTGTTTATTTTGTGCTCTGTACCGTCTCTCCCTCAGCGAGGTGATAAATCTCCTTCCCTCTCTTCCGGGTGACAGTGTGTTCTCCTATTTTCGTGCGGACCCGTTTGAGTTATAGACCTTTCAGTGTGAGGATATTTTTGGGAAAGTGACAACATTTTTGCCTGTCCTCACAACTTCAAGGAGCTCTATGAGGATTAAAACTTGGTTTAAAGGTCCAGAGGAGGGTAAACGTTGGGAGAAAGCATTTGAGACAGAAGGGGAACATGTGCATGTGTTTGCTTCTATGTAAGTATGTGTGTGAGGAATGTTACCTGGTCATACTCCAGCGCTCCGGGGTAGAGAGGCCAACCCAAGAAGAGCTCGGCTATCACACAGCCCAGTGACCACATGTCAATGGCCTCACAAAATGGCAGGCCCAAAATAATCTCTGGAGCCCTGCAGAGAGAAAAGACAGAAAAGGTTACGTCTGGGGTTAGTCACCTTGTATGATCAAAAACCAGTCACGTTGTCACAGCACAGCGGACAACGTGTCTTTGACTTCACAGAAGTCTCATTGGTCGGATCTAGGATGTAATTTTTGTTGGATGGATCGAGCAGAAAAAGAAATATATGTCTGGTGAGCCAGAGTTTCTGATAGCTTAGAGAAAAATCTGTCAACCATATAAAAATGAATACTGGGAGTGACTCTAGGTATAAAAATAATGCTGATACAACCCCACACTTGCATAGAAAATTCCAGCTAGATATTTAGTATTTTGGTAATTTTGATGTTGTGCTGAATTGACTAACATTATGTTCCTGTGTTTCCTGGTACTTAAGTGTACATTTGAAGCACAACACTAAAAAGAATATCTGTTGTGGAAGGCATTCGTGTAACAGAGGACACTGTAAAGATTCTATTTATCATATGACTGACTTCTCAGTCTCAGGACTTAGATTAAAACATTTCCTCTTTCCTAGAGTTATATTTCATATGTCGAACCCACATTAAAACAACTGGCATGCGTACGGTAGCGACTGTGCCTTAACTTTGAAAAGTAATTTCCACTCGTTTCCTCAGGGTAGGCTTCATATACTTTATCTCACCCTACTCCACCTCTTTCATTATATTTGATTGAAAAGAAATTCAGTAAAAGGATTTAGAGTAGCACAGTTCGTGACCGTTTCAGTGCAAGAAACTATGATCTCATTAATGACACGTTACTCTGGGAGCTCAAACTGAACATTACACCCATATGACGTGTGCACAGTGTTCCAGCAACAACTAAATCTCTTTCAAAGAAGGGACTTTGCAGTTCAGATGGAGAACGGTAATCTTACAGGAGAATTGTGAGGTCGCACATGAAAACAATGGGCCATTAGGCCTGGACACAGCAGCTGAGCAACAGTGCTGCAAATAGCAACCGCGGCTATGATGACCACAAGGGAAATGACTGTTGCCAAGCAACAGCCAGACACAAGACCATAATGCAACAGTATTACAGGTGATAAATGGGACCGTCGCTCACGGAGCTACGTGTTTATGATTGTGAACAAATGTGTGATTCTTTATGTGCAGATGTCAAGTCAATCACGTTCACAGGCTGTTCTCTCTGCCCTCGCTGGCCCAGAGGAGGAAATTACACTTTGACATTTCCTATTGCTCCGTCTAGAGGAAGAAGGCAAGTTATGCAACGGCAAAAAAAAAAGAAAAAAAAAAGAGCCTTGGGGGAAAGGGACAGCCTCAAATATTTATGGAACAATCCTGCAGAATGGAGACACCGATTCTGGTTTTCCTAGTTTTAAGTGCTACCGATCACTGAGATTGTTTTGCCCCTGGAGGAAAATGTCAGACCAAATGATAACTTTGGAAGGAAAGAAAGAAAAAGCAATTTAAACACCATTAGAAGAGTTAATCAAGGACAAGGGGCATTTGAAACACATTTAAATTCTTTATCCAACGTAAATAACACAAGATGCAAATTAATTTACTGAATTTCATTTTGACCCTACTATATCTTATTTTAAACAAATCTAAAAACTGCCAACAAATGTCTACAATTAAGATTCAAAGTGGGTGGCACATTAAATGAGCGCTAACATATTCACCATTCACTTGTAGCTTATGAAAACACATATTAGCTAGTTATTTACATTGTGTTCTGCCTGAGAGTATTCTATAAACATGAAACCCTGAAACTTGTGATGCTGCCGTACGAGCCAGGTTTCCTCCTAAAAAGAGGTTGTTAACCTCAGTGGGATTATTTTTGGATAAATAAATGAAACTATAATCTCCACAGGCTGCTCAAACTCAGGGTGTAGCCGTCCATTATTACACCTATGGCAAAAAAAAATAAACAAACCTATACATACATTGTTGAGGGAAAGGGGATTAAAGGGGACAAAAAATAAACCTGTTAAAAATAAAAGCTGTTCCCAGCTTCACTGCCCGACTCATAAAAGCGGCAGCAATGGCCCCAGCTTTCCAGAGCTGTAACAGCTCATCACATAGCACACATCTAACACACTCACAGGTGTTTGTCATCGCATCCAGGTTCCAGAACTAACCAGGCACACTAGAGAGCAGCAGACTGTAAGGCACCACACACCACTGCAACCGAAACTACCCAGACAGTGTGTTTATGTTGCTGTGAGTGATGAGACAGGACTCATCATGTTTTTACATATGTATGCAAAGCTAATCCACGATGATCACATGTCAAAAACATCCATCTGCACTGATACGGCTTAGTGTTGGAACAACAGATCAAGTTCCAGGAGAATATGCATGTGCAGCAACCAGTGCAGCAGGGACTAAGGTTTTCACACCTACCGAGTTTGGTCTGGACCTTCTGACTTTTCAATTCAGTCCAAACCACAATTTGTGTTTGTCTGTGTATTTGTGTTCGTCCTGTCGGTTCCACTGTTTTACCTCCCAAACAAATACACTGTCCAGATGTGTTGAGATTCACGTTCTAGTCTAGTTGTTTTTTTTTTTAAACTGTGCTGACAGAGTGAGCCTGCTCAGGGTCTGACTTTGCTGTTCCTTCTTTTTGTACGTGTTCTACTCCAAGCTACCAGAAGCTGGAGTAAAAGAGAAAACCTACAGCATGTGAAATCACACCTACAGTACACGAAGGAGGCCTGACGCAGCCTGCTCAAATCCTTCCACCTGATCTGCTAAGATGAATTATTCACATAGCCCAGTGCTCTATTTTCATTGTGGGAGGTGGCTTTGCGTCACCAACCCCCACAGGACAGATCACCTCACCCGGCCTTGCTGTGTCATGCTACCATGGCAACAACACATTACAGCATGACGAGCATTCAATCGTTTCTGCCGGAGCCGTCCACAGAGTTGAAGTTCATTGACAACCTTATATTATTCAAGATATAAAAACAAAAACTATGCAGATGACTTAAGCCAGAATTCAGCTTTAGTTTCTCACCTGGATGAAATACCTTTATATAGAGTGATAAGGTCCATTCGGGGCTCATTACAAATCCAAATAGCTGTTTCATTAGAAACTATTTGGCCCTTTGTCGAGCACATACCTCCATCCAGTCCCAACAGTCCCCCTAAATTCAATCAAGCCTCATAGCTAAGCCAACAAAACAACGCCCTCTCTGACAGTTGTGTATCTGCACCAAATCCCTGACGTTTGTTTAGTCATATTTCTAAAACTATTTAAAAAATAAATAAACTGCTGATTCTCTCCTGACTAAACATCATCTCAGATACACATTGGTGTTAGTTTCCGGTTAGTCCCAGTTGTCCCATCGTTCAACCAAGTTTCGTGGAATACCGTTCAGTGGCTGCTCACAAACAAACCAACCGACCGACAAACAAACAAAGGGACAAGTGTAAGACATTATCTCTTTAGTGACGGTACTTACTTAAAACACATATTTAGAAGGATCTACAGAAGACAATGATTTACTTGAGGACAGTTCAACCTGTAAACAGATGGCTCTGGGAATCAAAACACCATCCTGCATTAACTGGACATGCTACTGAGTGAGTCAGCAACAGCCCAGTGAGTCAGAGACATGGCTGCATATGCAAACACAAAATCAAATTTAATACTACTGTCAAAAAAAAAAAAACACTATATTCTCATCTCAGTCAAGGTTAACAAATGAAACTATAAGTTGTTTTATTTACAACTTCCTAAGTTTATCTAGTTCTGAAAACTATACATTATATAGATAGAGAGGCCTCCTAGGATAATGTCCATAGAAATCCAGGAGAGTTGATGGTGCTTCTGAAAAAAAATAAAAACTCCCTTTGAAGTTACTTTGATCATGATGTTTCCATTAGTCGATAAGTATTCCACTCATATTCCTGTTGACATGTGGAGGAGCAGAGTTTGATCATGACACGTCAGCATTACGTTCACTACGACATACCTCCAATCTCTTAATTGTGTTAACATCAGTACATTGGTATCCATGTAGACACATTAGTGACCGAAATGCCTCAGTGTTTTGTTATATGCAAATTATCTATTTCAGTCTGTTTTATGTCCGACTCTCATCTGACAATTTAAAGTACAGGCGTGCTGCTCAACGAGACAAACCTTCACCAGCATCGACAAACACTGTGAACTTCCAATGTTGCCAAGTGATGGCCTGTGTACTAAAACGCCATCGGCTCCACCTCATGTGGGTGTGACACGTGAAAACCTGTATTTATAACCTCATTGACAGTTTCATTTCAAATTGTGCCTTTTTGTGAACTTTAAAAAAAAAAAAAAAAAACTTCAATTGAACTGACATTTGCATCAAAGCCACAAAAACCGACTATGCTCTTGGAAAATCCAGGGAAAACCCCAGAGCTGCAAAAAGAAAATGAAATCTCCTCCTACCCACTGTGGTGAGGCCAGCATTTCTAAGCGGCTCCACTATGGTAACAATACAGTGCAGCCATTATGCAATATGAGACACTATGTCCTGCAAACCACTCTCCTGATAACCTGCTGTTCAAACAAATTGCCACACACACACACAAACACACGTGCGCACTAATGCAGCTCTGGGACCAAAATTGCATTTGTACATGATGTACCATTTGTAAATTCTGCTATTTGCATTGCTTTGAATTGTTTGTATAGCCCTGAATTGTTTTACACATCTTCCTGCCCAGATACTACAGATTAGAAATTATCTGTATATCTAACACTAATCTAAATTGTTGTGTTTTACTTTTAATTAAACTAATAAACTGAAGTATAATCAGTGTGTGACTTCTCCCTATGAACACAAATGTTTACCAAACCGAGCTCATGTTCAGACCCACCACACTACAAATGCGTATGTAAAACCAGCTGACGTCATGGCCAAACCACACACACAAACACACGGTGGAAAGGAGATAACATGGGAGACACATACATACACGATGTCAGAGGCTCAGAGGAGCTGGTATGTTATCATGAAATATCAAGTAATAAAGTTAAATAAGTATTAATAAGCTTTTAACTCGATGGCCTTCACAAAACAGCTTGTTTTCAAAGTAAAACTGTCCACGTGACGCTTCCAACCTTGACACATTCATTCTACATCGTCAGAGTAGCCCTTTATCACATCTGAATTGAGCGTATTGTGAAGCACGTTCTGGTACACGGTGTAACGTACATGAAGGATCCAGCCTTGGCAGCTGTTGCATGGACAGGGGCACGCACACATACACATGAGCACACCCAGAAACACACAGGAATGTCTGAATGTTTTTTCCTGGATCTAAATGTGGATTTTCACATACCACATTCTTCCCTGGCCTTCTATGTCCTGAGTGACCTTCCTGAAATTTAGTGCTCGACCCTTTTTAACTCTCAGCATTGTCGACACGGACTAAAAAGACAAATCATACACGAACGCACGTTCGTACACACTTAACCAGGTCAAGTGAGAGAAAAGCCTTCATGTTATGCAACAGCTCTCCTCTTCGCCTCCCAGAGGAAGGGAGAAGGGAGAGGGGAAGGAGGGGGGGGGCAGACGGTGGCTGGCTTTTGCTCAAGTAGAGACATTGCATCCAGGGTTAATCTGAATCACTGGGTGTAGACGATGGGCCTGCTGTTGGCTTTGTGTCTCATGAACCACTTCCTCCACTGTCAGTTACATTTGTCAAAAACTTTGCGACGACTAAAACCTGCAGAGTGAAAACAGCTAGTTTCGACAATTGGATCTTTCTATCACATTGTAGATATTCGTCTATTGCTGGTATTTTTGCAGGAAATTTGCGCTATGATAACCGTGAATCCCTCCCCACATTAAAACCTTACACCATAACAAGATGACCAAAACTACGTGACTGGTTGAACCCATTTAGATCAGATTTAAAATATGTGTGTATACACCTTTAAGATTTGGGGCGACGTTTGCGTGCTTCTCCCTGAGATGAATGCATGTTTTATATGATGTGATCATAAAGTTGGAAGGGAAAGGCCATGATTTATAATGAAAGCCAAATGTTTAAGCTATCAACTATTTTTTCTTTCCTAACTCTGTATCTGCTAACTCTGTTTTTGTAGACGATGGCAGTTCTGTCAGCTCTTCAGAAAACCCTCTGGTTTTAGGGGTTTGTTTTCAATGCTTGGGTTTTAGAGTTAATCTTTATTTGGTTAATAGCCGTGATCCTCTCCCCATATGCAAATGTTCTACCAAAACTAGACGACCAAACCAATGAGACAAAAGAAATGTGTAAAGAAATATGAACAAGCTTGAGCCGTTTTGAATGATAATAGGTACAGCCTGACCATTCTCTTTAACCTCACTGGCTTAACACTGTGTAATAGGGTTTTTTTTCCCCATCAGAAACTACAATTAACATAAGTGATCCTGCAGAGAGTGGAGAGGCGGGTGTGTGCAGTGCATGAGTTTCTGACACACACAGCAACTCCGAAGCCTTTTCATAGATTGCACAATGTTTGAGGAGTTGGTAATAGTTAACCCAACCGGACCAACCGACCTGCTGCAACTTGCTAGAAAGAATAAAGACATGTTGTCCTGTAGTAAATACTTGGCTTTGGAAACGATCTTAGATGTCATGAACTGTGTCACCCGCCACTAACTTCCTTGTGCCCACAAAAATTTGCAATATCTGTACAATCTTGGCTGCATTTCAAAAGCATGTTCTCCAAATCTTTCATTACACTGTTCCTCATATACACATCTCAGTTCCTCTGCATGTTATGCAAGACCAGCAGAGCTTTGGGCGTGACGCTGAACACACTTTAGAAATATAAGCTTGCGGGCCTGCGCCCGAAAATGCATATGTGCAGAAAAAAGTGAGGCAGCAAGTCAAAGAGAAAAACAGCAGGCGAATTGGACAAAAAGAGGAGGTGCTGTTTGGAGTGTGCAAACTGCCAAGCTGGCATTGAGTGTACAGGTTAGCACTTCACATTACATAAGAACACACGAGGCCTTAACATATTAAGATGGGGCAAGACTTTGCTAAGTCCTGTGGGAAACACAGAGACACATAAACAATCAATGCCTCTGGGACTGAGTCAGCTCGCTGTGCCAGCATATCAAGATAACAAATGACACGAAATTTCACCTCGAGATATCTGATCTTCCTCAGAAATGTTCTACCCTGTTAATCTCCTTTCTGAACATTTTGTACTACTGGAACCAGCTGAGTTTCTTCTGAGGAGAGCAGCTTTCGTTCTACTTAAATTTGTGTTTCTCTCATATGAAAAGTGAAATACATTTCACTTTCACCTGTGGGCAGTTTCATCTGTATCACAGCTGTGGAATGACATATGGCTTATTGTAAATAGACAAAAAGACCCCCTACTCAAGCGAATGCCTGAGCTACAAAAATTTCAATGTTATTTACAGCACAAAATAGATTTCTAAAAAACTTTAACCTTACTCCTGGGTATAGAATAGAAAACTCAGAGGGTTATAGAAAGAAGAGTGATGAAGAAACCACATTTTTGGTCATTTCTACGCTGTCTATACTTAATCTTAATGAATGATGGAGCATCCAGAGATTTAAGTTGAAGGGGCTCACCTGTAGTATCTGGACTGCAGGTAAGTGGAGCACACAGCCTTGGAGACGTGGCTGGCCGAGCCAAAGTCGATGACCTTGACTCTGTAAGGTTGCCTGGCGGGATCCACTAACATGATGTTCTCTGGCTTCAGGTCAGCGTGGATCAAACCCAGAGACTTCAGCTTCTTTAAGGCTGTTGCAACCTGCAGAAAATGACAGAATAATGAGCAAGTGAGGCATTTATTTGAAATAGCCCATAAATAAAACCATGATTACAAACAACAATGTGTGTTATATCTGAGTCTGACTGCAGCCAATGTTTATTTACCTGCTGCAGAATAGGCCTGATGATTTTGAGCGGCAGTGGGCTGAACTTGTTCTGTTTGAGGAAGTCGTAAAGATTTTGCTCGAGCATCTCAAAAACCAGGCAAGTGTGGCTGCGGTGCTGAAAGCACTCCAGAGCACGCACCACGTTATGCTCATCTGCATTCTCGTTGCTCAACCGGGCCAGGATCTCCACCTGGGGATTCAGAAACAGAGAGGGAAATGAGTTAACAGTTCTGTTGGACCTAGAAACATCAAATGCTGTCTCTCTCATAAATGAAAATAAAAGAATACGGAGCACCATTCCCACAGTTAACCCCCAATTTCAACTGTAACACTGACAATGATACATCAGCGCAACAAAACCTCACAAAAACTTACCTCGATCTGTCCCTGACGTGCATAGGATGGATGGTTCTTCAGTATTTTTATAGCCACCACTTCATTCGTTCCCCTCTTCCAGCCCTTCACCACCTGACCAAAGGTGCCACGTCCGAGAAACTCCAACACCTCATAGCTGTTCTTCAAGGAGCACAGAACCTCATGCTGAACCAACTGATAGTCCCCATCTCCAGATCCAGTTCTGGTCACCGTAGCTCCCGCCACTGCCTCAGTGCTAGCGTTAGGCTTCACCTCGGCCCTGTTCGCCCCGATACCCATGTCTTTCACTCCATCAACCGTGCTGTGTTGGGTAGGCAGTGTGCCTTTGCCCCCTACTCTGACAGTGTCTCTATTATTCCCAGTGCTGGTTTGCAACATGGCCACAGTGGGAGGAAGAGAAGGTAGAGCAGATACCTCCTCCACTATCTGCATGGTTCCGGTGCAGTTGTTGTCCCGCGGTTGTTCTCCACTTACACCTGCCTTGTATTGTTCACATCTCTGGGCAGTGCCTGTGTCTACAAGACTAACATACCCCCCTCTGGTTTGTACTCTCCTGATCCTGCCCTCTTCCTCCTCTGCTCGGATACACCCCCTCCTCAGTAGCCCACAGTCCAAGCCTCCTCCTGCTGATGGAGTTCCACCACTGTCGCCCCAAGGCCTCACTTCCTGTGGGCCTCTGCTATGGATCCCAGCTGGACCTTCTCCTTGTCTCTCAAAACTGTCCTCTCTTTGTAATCCTGTCGCCTGTAATGTCCACTCCTGTCTCTCTTCAGGCTGTACTCCCCTGTGTCGTCTTCCTGAATCAGCACCGGCTGAAGACGGGATAACGTTGTTGGGATAGGCAATTCCGTAGTTGACTCCTATCACATAGGTCTTGGGTGGGGGTCGGTGCTGAAAGGCTCTGCTGGTGTTATTTCTGTGGTGGGCTGCGCCTGTGTCTCTGCTGGTCGCACTTCTGCTGGTTCCTAAGGCACTTGTTTGAGCGGAGTGCAGGTGAGGTGGGTAAACCAAGACTTGTGAGGCCATACTTAAAAACAAGAGATAAAAAAAAAACAATGAAGTAAAGCACACAGAAAAAGACGACACCATATAAGAGGTGTTTACACTTATGTATTAAATTCTTAACATGCTAAGCTGACGCTAACGTGTAAATGTTACAATACGACTGTACAGTACATTAGAAAACAACTTGAGTGTTTAACAAAACAGCACCCTGCTCATCACAGGCAACGCTACAGTCTAGATAAAGAACCGCAGCCAAAATGAATATATATCTAGGCCATTATGTCACCCTTACTGGAAAGGGGAACTGGTAAACTGTAATGGGAGATGGGGGAGGCCCGTCGCATTGCTGGCCTGTCCCTGCACGCTACACTGGAGGGTCAGTTTCACACAAAGTAGAACAGCAAAGCAAGCAGTACCCCGGGTGGGGGGGGGAAATGATACACCATGAGGCATGAGTGTCCTGTAACTGTGACATTATATATAGATGCACCTTTTACACAGAAATACCAGTTGATAAACATTTCCTCTCTGAGAAGCAATCTAACATATAGTTTTATGAACCACACACTATTGTTTTATTGTTAATGTTACTTCGTGTGTTGGACACCGAGCAATATATCCTCATTTATGATATGATTGAAAATAATAATCCAAATGAGCAATCTGCCAGCTCTACTGGCTGCTGCATGCCACATTTCATTAATATCTGTGAGAATGTGAGCCCAAACGTGATGACTGGGCCTTTATGGCCTGTGCAAAGCTCAACTGTTAGCATGCTGGGAACACTCAGAGATAAAATCGTCCGGGTCTCATTTTACTCTGCTTCTAAATTCTGTGAGATCATCATGAAATGTACATTGTACAGAATAAAGTTGAATTTATTTCTGTATTCTGTGAACTCGAACACGTCTATTTTTAAAGGTCGCCCACGTCTGACACAAACTTGCTTGACTGATATCTAATTTGTGATTTATTTAATGTACATGTTTAAATGTGGCACAAACCCGAGTTAAAAAAATATATATAAATCAACAGATTCAACATCATTTCCCATTTCAAACCCCAAATCTGTGTATTTTTTTTTAAAGGAACATTCCTTTCCTTGCAGCGAGTCATGACGCCGTGACAACAGGCAGAGGTAAAAACTCTCAGCCCCACTTCCTGAATATTCCTGACTGGGTTTACGCTCCGAGTCAGATTAATCCAGATTTAAGGGTACATCACAAACACACTCACAAAGGTTTGCACCACTAAGTTCAGTTCGACAAGAAACGTTTGGTGAGAGCAAGTGTCTTTCCTCATTAGTCGAGCTGTCACATACAGGCTCAGACAGGCAGAGGGGTGTGCCTCCGCTTCAACATTACAATATAACACACTGTTCATGACTAAGAGGGCTGGGGAGTTATACCAGATAACAATCACTGTTGTGAACAAACGTTTCTTTCGAACAAGCAAAAATTCTGGCTACGATAGTTTATGGATTTAAACTTTGTGAACAATAACAAATCTGAGGACTACTGAATGAAATTGTGATTAAATCTAAAATTTCCAAACAGCAAGTTGGAGGCGGAAATTAAAATAAAGTGTGAAGAGTAAAGTCGGTAGAAGCTACTTTCTCCTCTCGTTATCCACAGCTGAGAGAGCCTGACAGATATATACAACAACTTGATGATGCAATTCACAAAATTTAAGTGCAAATTACAAGATCCATCACCACCATATGGCCGGTGTGATCCGATTCCACCCTGTGTCTGCCTGCCAAGGTGCCATACCCACGGCTTTTGAAAGGGGGTGCTTGCACAGACACAGCTGTGATACCTCCTGCTCTGTCCCCTCTCACTGCCAAACCGAGTCTCCTGATATCTCACAGGGCAACGAGATCCAAGCCTGAAATGGAGAGTCATTACAAGGTGTGTGTGCGTGCGTGTGCGCTCGTCGTTCTATAGTTACGAGGGACAATTTTAGTCCAATACCATCATTGAGAGAACATTTTGGCTGCTCTTTACAAATTCAAAAGGGCTGTTTGGGGGTTAATGGGATAGTTCACAGAAAAATGAAGATGCACTCATTGTGGAGGGGTGGGTGAAGTGTTTGAGTCCACAAACACATTTGGAGTTTCAGGGGTAAACAGCATTGCAGCCAAATCCAATACAATTGGATTAGAAACCGGGCAGAGAACAACAGCACACATTTAGGCTGTAAACGTGGTGTAAATGATGCAATTCCAAGTGGAACTCGAATGTCGGGGGGCATCCGGACACTTTTCCTTTCATTTTTTCTATGTTTGAAGAAGTGGTCACCCGCTCCTTCAATTGTATTGGATTTGGCTGCAACACTGTTTAACACCGAGGCTCCACAAGTGTTTTGTGGACTCAAACACTTGACCCACCCTCCCATCGGCAGGGTAGATAATGAGAGAATTGTCCCTTTGAGGCTCGGTCTGAGAGTTAGAATCATGTTAGGCATTGAGTTGTGATAGTTAAGGCCAAGGTATAGGTGATGCATTACGCCACAGCTATAATGTGTGTGTGTGTCTGTCTCTGTGGTGTGTTGCACCGTTGAACAACAGGGCCAGCTGTACACACAACTTGTTGCTAATCAATCTAGGAGACAGTTAACATATGGGAGTGGTGGAGTGTGTGTGTGTGTGTGTGTGTGTGTGTGTGTGT